GAGCCATGGGACACTTCAGCCTGGAGAAGCACAGGCTCAGGGGTGACCTGGTGGCCGCCTATAAGTATATAAGGGGTGACCACTAGGATCTGGGGGAACACCTGTTCACCAGAGCGCCCCAAGGGATGACAAGGTCCAATGGTTGCAAACTCCTGCAAGACCATTTTAGGCTGGACATAAGGGAAAAACTTCTTTACTGTCCGAACCCCCAAGGCCTGGGACAGACTGCCGCTGGAGGTGGTGCAAGCACCTACCCTGGACACTTTTAATAAACATTTGGATGTCTGTCTTGCTGGGATCCTTTGACCCCAGCTGACTTCCTGCCCTTGGGCAGGGGGCTGGACCTGATGATCTTCTGAGGTCCCTTCCAGCCCTAATGTCTACAAAATCATCATCATCAAATATTGGAAGTGCCTCGCAGTCGAGGTCAATTTGTCTTCCATGACCACTTTATCTGTGGATCCGAAGACAGCTGAAAGCATTAAGCTATATGTAAAACCTTGCAGGCCAACGTAAGGTTTCCCAAAGGCATTTATTTAAAGTGTGCTTGGGGGTCAGGGATCTCAAATTGGTATCTGTTCAGTTTGAAGTTCTCTGTTTCCATTATCGGCATCTCACGATACGCAGTTTCTTCTGCTCAGGACCCCACCGGGAGGCTTGTGGGGGAATTATGCTGACCACTGCAGGGACGGATGGATAGACAGACAGACAGAGAGGGGAGTCTTACCTGTGGGGGCTCTCCTCACTTGGGTGGCAGCTGCTACTGCATGGACTCAGGCTGCTGAGGAACACGTAGCACCACAGGGTCCTGGGGGCTGCCCCTGGTGCCCTTTTTGCCCCCCTGCTCCCATCCCTGGAGTCAGGGCTGTTTCTCCTATGGCCAAGCTTCCTGGAGGGGTATTCTCCCATTCCTCCCCGTCTCTTCCTCCCTTCCTCCTTCCTACCCCACAACACGCACACTATGGGGCGAGGTGCTTGGGGCTGCATCTGCCTGGTTCCTATGGCTGGGCTGTGCCTGCCATGGCAAAGACTCTTGGCGGGGAGGGAGCGTGGTTGGCACCCCCTCTAAGTCAGCGCCTGGAACTGGTACCCTCCTTGCCCTGCCTTAGTTATACCACTGACCCACTGCAGGCCTCAACTCTGATTTTGCTTGTTCTCCTTCCTTTTACAAAGCAGTGGAAGCTTGCAGAATAGCACAGTTTAAAATAGCATTGCTGTCCTACTTTGAGTCATTGTAGTAGTTCCTCCCTGCCAATACCGGCTCTGAGCTGCAGGCCTCCTGGTATTGATCTCCCAGCCGGCACATTATGAGCAGCGGGAGATCACCCAGTTTGAAGTTAAGAGGGTGGATAAAAAATGAGGGAAGGGAAGGGAAGGAGGATTATGGCGCGGTGTTAAAGAGATACCGTAGGGATAAATCCTTGCTTAAACCCCTCTTTCATTGCTGTGTTGCAAAGAACCAATGTGCATTTCTCCGTGCTTGTGTTACTGTTCTGCTCTATCATAAAGCCACAGAAAATGAGGGTGGGAAGGGACCTCAAGGGGTCACATCTAATCTAACCCCCTGCTCTATCCGGACAGTAAAGTCATGGTGCCGTTACTGAACTCCAAGTAAATTGGTTTCATGTCGGGATGGAAACTCAAGCTCCTTTTTAAGAACCTGAGTAATGGGTACAAAGCTGCAGTGGGTGAGGAGTGGTAGAATATAATTACTTTCATTCTGATTTTTTTTGCTCATTTAGCACTGGGACTGGCTCTGCATGTTACAGCATCTAACAGCATATGGCCCCGATCCCAGCTCGGACCCCTTGGCACCAAGGTCCTATTTCCAGTAAGAATGAGCATTCCTCCTCTTCCTGGGAAGCCTTCCATTTTATTTGCAATGTAACACCCATATTTTCACGTTGTCACACCTGACAAGTGTCCTTTTGTATCTGCAAGACAAGCACATTATTTTGTTTGATTGGAAGTGATCAGAAAGCACTGAGTTGCCATTTATGTAATGCCTACTGTCTCCCTGTAAAGAGGTGTGCATGCTAATTATACACCCATACACCTTCATAAAATGCCACTGCTGTATTTGTAAAAGTCACTTTCCTCCCTGGGCAGGTTTGCTGGCAATGAGTTCAGTTATTCAGCAGTAAGATATTTGTAGCCATTGGCAGATGATGTGCTTTTTAAGTCAAAGTTGACAGGCCATGTGGCTTTTCTGGTGCATGCTGTTAAATTGGAATAACTAATTTGTGTTGTTTTGCATCCTTCCCTCCCCCCCCCATATGTATGTAATGCTAACCAGCAGAGGTTTGAATCATTCATGGGCTGTATCCTCCACGTCAAAGCTGCAGATGTCATGGGAACAGCGACTGTAGGGTGTGCAGGTTTTTCATCTTCTGTCTTTTTAAAATCCATTGCTGGTTATAGGAGGAGTACACATTCGAGAGATGATCTTGGCGAAGCACAAGTCCCCGGATAGGCAGCAAATTGCTGTGGATATTCATCAGCCTGGTTTCCATTAGGCAAAACATTGCTTGTTCTCTGTCACCTGTGAACTATGTCCGTGGACTTCAGCTTCTTACCTGGTGACATACGCACAGGGGAGATTTATGTGTGATTGAAATCAAAACCACTTATCATATTGTAACTTCAGGTTATACAGTTTTTGCATCTGGTTGCATGGCAGTACATTTGTGCTGGCTTTGTTTTATAAACCACTTGGAGCAAATCAAATTTAGATGTTTGTGGCCTGATCCTCCAGGGCACGGCTCCCACTGGAGGAAAGCGTTTCCTTGGAAGTATAGAGGTCTGCGTGTCGGGACCATTTGACGTGACCGGTGGATTTGCAAATGCAGAACCATTGCAGGGGACTCCAAGTAGCTGGCAAATGCTGTGAAAAATCATGTAACAAACTTCATGTTCTCTGCCCAGCAAACCCCTGGATAGTTTTGAAGAGTCATGGTCATTTCCTTACTGAAAGATCAAATGAGTTGGTTGATCTGACATGGACTTTGAGATCACAGGAGCTTATGGATCTTTTTATAGTATGCAGCCTCTTTTAGGGATGTGGTCCCACTGATGCACTACTGCATCTCCTTTGGCTTTGCCACTTTACTTCCAAGATGGGCCTGTCTTCTACACTGTGTCCATCATGTCCACTTTGGTCATAGCTCGTGGTAAAACTAAGTAGAGCCTGCAGTAGAGGGAGAGAGCAGCCCTCAACACAGAGCCAGGAGGGCTGGGACTCGGCAGAGGGGGCCGGTGGCCCGCGTCGGAGGAAGGCCAACCCCAGCAGTAGTTTTGTCATGCTGTGATCGTGCCCTGCGTTTTGGCAGACACCTGTTGCTCCTTTTCCATGCCATTAGCAGTTGCATAGCATGTAATGTGCCAGCTGTCTGTATCTGCTGATGCAACAGGTTTGGCTCCTGGACTGCCTTTAGGGGTGTAAAAGCAACCAACAGCTGAAGCTATACTTGGACCTGGCTCCCGAGACAAATCTTGCTTTTGTCAATTGAATGCATGGTGTCCCTGCGTTGCAGACACGTGCCCAGGACGTGCACTGCTCGGCAGCACGTGGACGGCATGCACGCTGTTGTTAGTGACTAAACTGGTGATTCTCAGCCAGGGTACGTGACACCCTGGGGTGCCTTGAGATCGCGTGGTGGGTGTTGCAGGTTGCCCTAATGTTGGCACTCTTAGGTTTGCAAACATGATTCAGTAGATAAGCCTGGAGATTTAAAATAGAAATCCATAGCTGTGGGTTTTCTGAGTTCTTTGCCACAGAAAAACTCTTCTATTCACTTTGTTTAGTCAGAAAACTAAGAGATGGCATTTGGTTTTAGAGTGAAAACTAAGAGGGAGCATTTTCCAATGGGTGCTGCAGGTTTAAAAAGGTTGAAAACCACTGGGCTAAAATGAGTTCACTTGTAAAATGAGGATCTTCTGGGCCTGCTGCAGGGAATGATCTTGTGGATCTCTTATTTCTATTGGGCATGGTGCAAGGTGCTTGGATACCAGCCCCAGAAAATGAAGGTATCTGTCAATTAGAGCTGGGGGAGTGAATGCTCTTTTGGAACAGGCATCAAATTAGCCGGGCAGAGTCTCAATTGAGATACCTAGCTGGGATCATTTGAGCCCAGTTTTTTCTCCTGCCGAGGCAGGGGGTCGGACTTGAAGATCTACAAGGTCCCTTCGACCCGACTTCTTTGAACCTATGAGATGAAAATTGGGAGGAAGTGAGACTGGGAGTGGGAGTCTTCTTAGCTACATGAATGTTTTTTTGTTTGTTTCTGGCCAAATGAAATACTTTGTTCAGCCAAAACCAACCAACCAGCCCAAAGCAGCTCCATTTTGGGAGGGTATAATGAGCAAATCAATGGAAATGAAGGGCTAGACTGGTTGTAGCAATTGGATTTGTATCCCAGCAGTTGGGGCATTTACACAGGATGCAGGAGAGACAAGTTTGATTCCTCCAGTGTGTTTAGGGGATTTGAACCCATATTACTCAAAAGTGTCCTAACTATTGGGCAGTACAGCATGCTGGAGGAGTGCTTGCTTTCAGACTTGGTATACTTGGGAGCGGGGACTGAAACTCAGGAGTCCAACTCCTGCGCAGGTGTCTTGGGTTGAAGAGTTGTCCTGCCTCAAATTGAGTGTTGATATGAAATAGAAAAGTCTCATGTAAGCCTGAGAGTGACCCTTCCTGGACTACCTTACCCCATGGTAGGTAGGGCACTCTTTCTGAAGGCGTTCATACCTCTCAAGGAGAAGAAGGGGTTGAACCTGGGTCTTCCTAAGCAAAGGAGCTAAGCAAATGGCTATTAAGAAGAACAGGATCCTCAGTCTCCTGGGATTATTTGATTTGGAGAAGAGAAGATTGGCTACGGGACATCTGTGTTTGGAATTTGATTGTCTTTAAATACCTGGCGTTGGTTATGAAAGAGGGTGGTGGCTCTGTGGCTAAAAGGGTATCGGAAGAGGACAGGTGATCTTATATTGCAGAGAAGGAAATTTAGTTATGCATGTTAGGAAGAACTTGTCTTCCTACGAGGGTGGTTAAGCATTGGAGCAGGCTGCCTAGATGGATGGGTTGTGGACTCTCCATCCTTTGATGTTTTCAGGAGCAAGCTAGCCAAATACTTATCCGGGATAGTTAAGACCGGGGTGATTTTGCCTTGAGCAGGGGAGGTTGGACTTAGATGACCTCCTGAGGTCCCTTTCCGTTTTGCTTTTTGGTGATTCTCTGACTCCTCCGTTGTGACATTTTTCCATTCAAAGCTCTTGCACAAAGTCAGCCTGAGGGAACAAATTGTTCCGGACCAACCAAACCCACATTTCTTTGGCAAAAAAACTATTGACCTTTTTTTTTAAACAAACCCTTAGCCCAGCTGTATCATCTCTACAGCACAGCTATGAAAAGACTGTCTCGAAGTGTGAGGACAGCAGCTCTTTCCTACTGAATCCAAAGTTAGCCTGAGAAGAGTTAGCAGCTGCACTGACACCGGAGAGGCGCGTGTTATATTCCAACTGCTAATGGCCTGCTGTAACCTTGTGCACTTCCCCTTTCCCACCCCTTCTCTGTCTTGCCCATGTAGGTTGGAAGCTCTTTGGGCTGGGACGGTCTCATGCATGTACATGCGAGCTTCTCGGTTCGGCCACTTAGGCATCACTGCAGTTATGGAGATGGGGGGGGGGCTGGACACAACAGTTAGACCTATGCAACTTGGACTGGGTTTTGTACACTGATGTAAATTATTCCAGGATCTGGAGTTGGCAGGTGACCAGCTACATGGACAGAGCTTTTTTTCAGTAGGCACTATTTATGGCGCCTTATGCTAGGTGGCAGGGACTGGCGCTACTCCTAAACAGTTATCGTGGGATAACTCAAAACGCACAACACCGACACTGATGCATCTGCCCCATTTCCCTCTCCCTCCCCCCCACTTCCACCTTGCTAGTTTTTTGTTTCTTGGGGTGGTTTTACACTGGGTTCAAGCAAGTAACACTGTTGTAGGACTGTCATGTGGCTGCTCCTTTTTTTTTTTTTTTTACGCCTGTGTATGAAGTCTGATTACACCAGTAATGTGTTGTGTCTCCAAACCTTTAGGATCAAGGCATAAAGATGAGCTGAGCTTTTAACTTGAAAGTTTTAGTCCTCATTCCTATTTTAACCAGGGTCTTAGAGGTGAAAACATTTCAGCCTCCACATCCTTGATGCTAAGTGTAAACCCTCAAAAAACCTGAGGCTGAAGTGATTCGGTCTTCATGGGTTAATTATCCACGCCTGGCTTAGACTATTTCAGGCAGAGGGCCGCTTACTGAGTTTTGGCAAGCCATCGAGGGCTGCATGACTGGCAGCCAGGGGCAGATAACTATTAACTATCTAAATTATTTAGGGGCCCTGCAGGCTGGATAGAATGGCCTGGTGGGCTGCATCTGGCCCGCGGGCTGCATTTTGCCCACCCCTGGTCTAAGCTGTGTAGATTGAACTGATAAGCAAGTGAACAGACATTCACTTTTGATGCTGGAAATGCAGCTATGTGCCTGCAGTGGCCCAGACCTGAAGCCAGGAGGTGCTAGAGCATGCCTCTCTGCTTGGCTGAAGCAGACAGCTCGAAACTGGAGGGGATCTGGACAGAAGTTCAATAAAAAGATTTAACTTAGATCAGTTAAGTCTGATACTACATCCATCCAGGTGTCTCTTAAACCAGTTTCGGCCATTTTGAAAGCATTTCACATACACTGAACTTCTCTTGTGTTACAAATTTGAGCTGGTTTCTTATCACTTATACTGGTTTATGTGTAATTTCTGTCCCTAGCCTGAAAAAAAGGTAGATCCTAAAGTTATGAGGACCATAAGAAAATCTCTTGTTTATTTTATTCTAAAAGGGCATTTTTTGGCTCCAAGGCACCTGCTGTTGGGGATGAATCGGATTCCTGTTGCTATTCTGGCTTCCGCAGCCAGGCATGTTTGACTCTGGTGTTGGGAATGGCCTAGTACAAGTCTCCCCGAGTGCATGGTGTGGGAGGAAAGGCCAGGCAGCTGTCAGGGACTTCTGAATGGAATCAAATGATCAAATGTGCTCATGTTTGGGACACAGGTTTGCAATTAAAATGTTCAGTTGAGTCTTGGAAAAGAAAGGAATATTTCCCCCCTTATATCAGATGGGTGAAATGATGGGGATTTTGCCATTTCTGCAGTGGTCTCTCTCGGGGCTGATGTCCTAGCTGTGGCATACTGTTGTACAACTCTTCCAGTTTCTATGCAGAATCTCAGTTCTGCCTTTTCCTGAGCCTAAAATGAGATGCTATGCTCAGGGGATAACTCTGATCACCTCTTACTAATGTATTTTGATCAGTCGTGAAATAATTAACAATAGCAATTTTTAACACTGACTTTGAAATGAGATAAGTGGCAGCTCATGCACCTTTCTGAGCTATTTGATTGTGCTGTTTGAAGAACAGCTCACCTTGGGGCTGAGACCTGGGTCTGTGCCTGCACCAGTCTCTACCCTTAACAGTTCTGCATTCATCACTGCTGGTTTAGTTCTGCTGTTGGTAGCAACCTTGCCAGTCAATACACGGCCAGATCAGGAGGGGCTGTGGACCAGTTATGGGACAATGCTTTGTAGACCACTCCCGCTCTCTGTGTGCTGAAGAAATGTGTCCAAGACATGCCAAACACTGTTCCTAATCTGTTGTGCTCATCACAGTATCCCAGCTTGGGATGTAAGTGGAGTGGGTGTGACTGGGTGGGGCTTGTTAGTAGAAAGAAGAGGCATAGCCAGTGGACCAAGCGTAGGAGGGAGAAAGGGGCTGCCTGTCTATGTCTTTCTAGATGCTGCGCATGTAGAATCATAGACAGTGAGGGGTGGAAGGGACCTCAGGATGTCGCATCTAGTCCAACCCCCTGCTCCAAGAAGGAATTTCTCCAATTTGATCATCCCAGCCAAGGCTTTGTCTAGCTGGGTCTTAAAAAAACTCCAAGGATGCAGAGTCCACAACCTCTCCGGGTAACCTGTTCCAGTGTTTTACTAACCTCCTAGTGAGAGAGTTTTTCCTAATTTCTAACCTCAAGTTCCCTTGCTGCAACTTGAGCCCATTGCTCCTCGTTCTGTCATCTGCCCCCACTGAGAACAGCCCAGCTCCATCCTCTTTGCAACCCCCCTGCAGGGAGTTGGAGGCTGCTATTCAATCCCCTCTCGGTCTTCTCTTCTCCAAACTAAATAAGCCCAGTTCCCTCAGCTTCTCCTCATATGTCATGTGTCCTGGTCCCCTAACCATTTTTGTTGCCCTCCGCTGCACTCTTTCCAATATTTCCATATACTTTCTGTAGTGGGGGGCCCAAAACTGGACGCAGGACTCTAGATGTGGCCTCACCAGTGCTGGATAGAGGGGAGGAATCACTTCCCTTGATCTGCTGGCAATGCTCCTACCAATGGAGACCAGGATGCTGTTAGACTTCTTGGCGACAACGGCACACTGCTGGCTTATATTCAGCTGATTGCCCACTGTCCCACCCAGGTCCTTTTCTGCAGAGCTGCTGCCCAGCCAGTCCCCCCCGGCCTGCACCGGCGCATGGGGTTGCTCTGTCCTAAGTGCTGGGCTTTACATTTGTCCTTATTGAACCTCATGAGATTTCTTTTTGTCCAATCCTGCAATTTGTCCAGGTCACTCTGAATCCTAGCCCTACTCTCCAGTGTATCTACCACTCCCCCAGCCTGGCATCATCTGCAAAGTTGCTGAGGGTGCGCTCCATCCCATCTTCCAGCTTGATTGATGAAGATATTGAATAAAACCGGCCCCAGGAGTGACCTCAGGAGCACTCCACTTGATACCAGCTGCCAACTAGACCTCAAGACATTGATTGTTACCCTCTGAGCCTGACTATCCAGCCAATTTTCTATCCACCTCACAGTCCATTCATCTAATCTGTACTTCCCTAGCTCACTGGTGAGAAGGTTGTGGGAATCTGTATCAAAAACCTTGCTAAAGTCAAGGTATATCATCATGTCTACTGCCCTTCCCATATCCACAGAGCCAGTCATCTCTTCCTTGAAGGCAATCAGGTTGGTCAGGTGAATCCACGTTGCCTGTCCATAATCACCCTCTTCTCCTCCAAGTGCTTAGAAATGCATTCCTTGAGGACTTGCTCCATGACTTTTCTGGGGCCTGAAGTGAGGCTGAGTGGTCCGTTGTTCCCCGTATCCTCCTCCTTTCCTTTCTTCAATATGGGCACTATATTTGCCCTTTCCCAATTGTCCAGGACCTCCCCCAGTCACCACAAGTTTTCACAGATGATGGCCAGTGGCTCTGCAATTGCATCAGCTAACTCCCTCAGCACCCTTGGGTGCACCGTGTCTGGTCCCATGGACTTGTACACGTCCAGCTTTTCTAGATAGTCCCTAATCTGTTCTTGCACCATTGTCAGCTGCTCACCTCCTCCCCAAACTGCTGCTTGGTGCAAAAGTCTGGGAGCTGACCTTGCCTGTGGAGACTGAAGTGAAAAAGGCATTGAGCACTTCCACATAATCTGTCACGAGGTTGCCTCCCACATTCAATAAGGGACCCACACTTTCCCTGATCTTCCTCTTGTTGCTGCCATACTGGTAGAAACCCTTCTTGCTACCCTTCATGTCCCTTGCTTGCATGGACTCCAATTGCTCTTTGGCCATCCTGACTTCATCCTTGCATGCCTGAGCAACGCCCGTATATGCCTCCCTAGTTGTTTGTCCAAGATCCCTCTTCTTTTAAGCTTCCTTTTTGGGTGTTTAGCTTGCTAAAGAGTTCCCTACCAAGCCAAGCTGGTCTTCTGCCATACTTGCTGGTCTTCCTGCACATTGGGATGACTTGTTCCTGTACCCTCAGTAAGGTTTCTTTAAAATACAGCTCTCTTGGACCCCTTTTCTTCTTGGACTGGGGTGTAGAGGCAACCAACAGCTGAAGCTGTAGTTTGACCTAGCTCTCAAGGCAAACCTTGCTTTTGTCTATTTGGATCCTGCCCATCATTTCCCCAAGCGAGTCCAAGTCTGCTTTTCTGAAGTCCAGGGTCCTTACTCTTCTGCTCTCCTTC